AAAAAAAAAAAAAAATCGAAGCAATTCGCGCAATGGCCGAGTAAATTATCCGTACAGCAGAGAGAAAGCGTCTTCGCGGAGCGCAGCAGCTAGCCGAGGAGAAAAGACACACGCTGTACATGCAGCGCTGCATATTAGCCGCTCTCTAGCTCGTAGCCTAAGTTTAGAAGCGGCTCGCATACCTATGCTCTCTTGCCTAGATTTGCGTGACATTATCGGCCGCTCGCGTCCACTGCACGGAGGAGGTGCAGGTATATATATATATATACATACATATATAGGTAAGCTCCTCGCTCGCGACGTCTGGCGCCTCTATTAATAGAAAATCGCAACACAAGAGCGTTCACCAACTCGCCTTTTCTTTCTTTTCTTCTTCTACCCTTTGTAAGCGCTTTGTCCCTTTTGTCGTCGTCGTCGGGGCACCGCATTGCATTCGATCCGCCTTTATGTACCGCTCATCGGGTGCTGGTTTAATTTTACCCACGTGCGCGCTTATCGAGAATTCCCCGCTACGTGCGGCGGACCAACTCGAATCGCTTTCCCATTAAACACGGGAAGGGTATAGTTTATACATATATAATTCGGCGATCATTGGATTGTTTTGTTTTCTGCTTTCAGGAGGTCGGCAGTATCATCGGCAAGAAGGGAGAGATCGTCAAGAGGTTCCGCGAAGAGGTAATCAAAATTTTGTTGTTTTTTTTTTTTTCTTCCTTCCTTTGAGACGATTAACCGAGCCCGAGTAACAAAAAAACTGAATGGTATATATTAATAATGGCTCCGATAGTTTATATTGGCACATCTGTAGAATAGTGAGATAAGGCGTTACGTGGTGGTGATAAGCTATGTTTGTGTTTGTGCATAAAGTCGGGCGCCAAGATCAACATCTCCGACGGCTCGTGCCCGGAGCGCATAGTGACCGTGACCGGGCCGACGAACTCGATCTTCAAGGCGTTCACGCTGATTTGCAAAAAGTTCGAGGAGTGGTGCTCGCAGTTCCACGAGATTCAGACGGGTGCCGGGGGTAACGTGCCCAGGCCACCGATAACCCTGAGGCTGATCGTGCCCGCGTCCCAGTGTGGCAGCCTGATCGGCAAGGGTGGCTCCAAAATCAAGGAAATACGCGAGGTCACCGGCGCCTCGATTCAGGTTGCCTCGGAAATGCTGCCCAACTCGACCGAGCGCGCGGTCACCATTTCCGGGACCAGCGAGGCCATCACTCAGTGCATTTATCACATATGCTGTGTCATGCTAGAGGTAAATCTTTTTTATTTCTCTTCATCCGTTTTATTTAAGTTTACGATAACAATATGTTTGAGCGTTTTGTGTATATAGGAGAAACGATTGTGGGCGAGTTTGATCGGTTTGTCAATGAACCAAAGGAGAGTTGGGGAGAAAAAACGGAACAGCAAAGTAATCGAATCTCTTTTACTTTATCGGCTAAACTTGCTCGTGACTGTGTATTTGCTGATTTGCTTATGGAGGGGGGAGGGGGGCTTTGCTTGGGACGTCGAGAAACTTCAGTTGTTGGTGGATTGAAAAGTTTTTTTTTTAAATGAAATCTCTGAGCGATCGTTTTTCGTATACACACAGACGCGAGTGCTCAGTCATAGGTCAGGTGAATTTTTGTTTAAAGAAAAATTTAATTTTTCAAATGTTATTGTTATAAGCACATGGTGCAGATTGTTATTATTATTATTATTATTATTATTATTATTATTATTCCTGGTCCCCAAATTTTCAAGGCGTGCTGGTGAGATAAAAATTTGTAACGTTAACGTTACTTTTTCAGAAAACTAGACTTTTTGTACTGAGACGCGTGAGATACGTTAAAGGAGAGTGGGCTACAGTTGATAATCAAATGTGTAATCGGTAGGTACCAGCCAAAAAAGTAGTAGACCAAAACAACAACAACAAATTACACCTCACAATGATATGCACATCGAGGGGTTACATACTACTTGAGGACTGTACTTAAACCAAATTTTTATTAACTTTTATAACACAAAAGTATTTTTTTACTGACTCAAGGAGTGAGCAGCCCCTCGATTCCCATACATGTGTCGACAAATAATACATACGAGACAAAGAAAAAAAAAAAAAACCAATTGTGTAGTGCCTACCATCCAACACCAACATAATAATATGCATACTGTAGTCCAGTCTCTCTTTTTCTCTCTCTTTCTGTCATCTCCCCGCCATGCCACCCCCCCCTTTTCTTTGTACATGTAGCTATATACCTGCCTATGACTACATGCATTCGAATTATGATTTTTGTTTTTGGAAAAAAAAAGAATAATAAAGAATTTTTTTTTTTTCCTCACTACACAGTACGTGTACGTGTCCTTAATATTGGACGCTATCGTCGTATTTGTCTGCTTTCTGTTTCAGTCCCCTCCCAAAGGTGCCACGATCCCTTATCGCCCTAAACCCCAAGTTGGTGGGCCAGTGATCCTGGCTGGTGGGCAAGCCTTCACCATCCAGGGTAATTACGCGGTGCCCGCCCACTCGGACGTAAGTACAGTAATGCCTATGTCCGCCGCCCCCGCTGTCGGGACAGCCCCCCACCCGCCCTCGCTCAACGGCCAAACTCTACATACCTCGCCCTTCGCGGCCCACCCCTCCTCGCCCTTCGCAGCTTCACCACACGGGCATCATCCCCTACTGCCCGCCCACCTAGCAGCCGCTGCCGTCAACCCTCACCACCACCACCACCACCATCATCCTTTACACCCGAGCTCCCTACACGCCAGCGTGGCAGGCCTCGCCGACCCCCTGCTGAAGAGTGGACACTTGCAGGCAGCCCTCCCGCCCGCACACCTCGTGGCAGACGCCGTAAGTCTTTTGTTTTTCGTGACCTCCGAGACCCCCAACCCCCCACCAAATAACCCCCATTCCAGTACACCCCCCCCCTAACCCCCCACCAAAATATCTCTCTTTATGTACCTAACCCCCCTTTTCCCCCCACTCACTCACTTACCTGAAAGGAGGAACGATAAATGTTTTTCAAGTCCAGGTCGTCTGCCTTCGGTGGGGGGACATCCGTCACTTGTATCGAAAAACAAACATTTCAGTGATTGGTCGTACTTGTCGAAGGCAGTATTTAAGGCCGTAGTTGTTTTGTATGGTATATATGGGGAGTGGACAATATTGGTATGCTTGGAGCGCTGATATAGTTCACCCCCCCCTTTTTTTTGTATCTGGACTATATGAGTTTCCTCTTTCCTCCCCCTCCCCCCCTTCAAATCGACCAATGTCCATATGAAACTTTTTTTCTTTCTTTCTTCCTGCTAGACCGATCTCAATGTTGGATATTACAAATTCTTGATGTATGATTTTTTTTTTTTTTTTTTTTTCGTTCGAAGCAACCTAAATGTTTTGTTTCCAGTTTTTTGTTCTTCTACTTTTCAAATTACAATTCTTGCACAAAGATGCATAGCTGTTTGCTTACATTCGTAACTCGATTTCGTTTAATGGTTAATGTTTTTTTTTTTTTTTTTTTACTTACATTATTTTACGTACAAAGTGATGTTTAACACAATATTCGTTGTTGCAACATTTTTTTTCTTTTAATCTTTTCAGAGAAGTAAAAAAAAAAAAAAATCAGTAACTCTACAACTGAGAACAGTAAAAAATGTGCTGTGTACGTGTTCTAATGGTTGTTGCCCGGTCGAATGAAGAGAGAAGGAAAGAAAAAAAACGCGACTCACGTTCCAACATTTGATCCAAGCCCCTGCCCTTTTTACAAGGCCCTAACTACTTCTCAACCCTGGCTAGTATATATTTATATATCTGTTTTTATAACCCCTTGTGCTGAGGCCACCCAGTTAAGCCTGGCTTTAACCCCCTTTTTTTTAAAGTTCTTCTGCTCGCTTACTAATTCTGAATGTGTCCACCCCTACCCCTTTGATGCAAATTAACCTCTTTGTTGTTTAATATGCTCCTTTTTTAAATGTTTTTTCTTTTTTTTCCTAGCTACTTTAGTGTCTGCCTTGCAAGGAACGATGCTCGAGGTGGTACATTTTAACCGCGAGACTCTTGAAAGACTTTGAATAGTCTTGCATTTGGTTAAAAATGAAAATTAGACTCGAAGCCGAGAAAACGTACACCTCGGACGTTTGTCGACGGCCGCTTTTACTCTTTTGCTATGCTTTTGCACGATCTCCCGCATGTATGTGTGTTTAAACACGATTATTACTTTTTTCCCTAATTTTATCAAATTTATGTACACACACTATCTTATTACAATGTACTTTTTTTCCACTTTGCCCTATGCACACGTAATTATGTGTTTGATGTCAGAAATAAAAAGAAGTTTAATGTTATATTTGGAGCAGCGTTTTTTGTTTTCGTGTATTGGTAGAAAATTTAATGTACAGCGATCAAACGGAAAAATTGTCGATTGAACAAGTATTGCTCGCGAGGGACTCTATTGATTGAAAAAAAGTGTATGTTTCAGTACAAAAACAAATTCGGACTAAATATTTCTGTTTCCAAAAGTGGAGCAACACTGATAAATGTCGTTTTACGTGCATGACAAAAAAAAATAAAAAAAATGACTTCTACTTTTTGAAGAATCACAAATATGAAAGACACGCGTGTTTGTGCGACTAGTTGTGAGACGTGTAGGGAATACAATTTTTTTTGTTTTTGTTTTTTTCACATCAGAGTTGTGGAAATTAATGAAAAATATCGCTACGATATTTCAATCAGTCAAAATCAACACGCGCTACCCAACAACTCTCTTCCACCAATCAACGCTCGCGTCGCTTCTTGCTCCCAATTGAGCCGAAATTGGTCTATTCGTCATTCGACTACCGAATATTGTTTTTTTTTTTTTTTTTTTTTTTTACAGAAAAATACCATACTTGACTCTTTTGCTCCGTTCAATTTTCTTCCGCGCTTTTTCATCTCGTATTTTTTTTTCTCACTTCGCCAGCGCCGGAATTTTTTTCGGTCGACGCGTCACTGCACAATAGGGACTCTCCTCGAAAACGCAACCCTTCGTTCTCGCCTCGTCAGTGTCTTTGCCCGTTCTCGTTCCGTACCCATTGTCATCGCGACTCTTTCGACGCGGCAGCGGTCGATGCTCTCGCGACCTGCAAACCCCGAATTTTTCGCCACTACCTCCTTGGACTCTTTTTTTTTCGCATATTTTTCACACGCGCGATAAATGCTCGAGTATCGTGAATTCATGACTTTAGAGTAAGTATGATTTTCGTGTAAGAATCTAATTCACATGTGGAGACTTGGACACATGTACTTTTTTTGAAATACGATTTTCTGCTAAAAAGATTTTTTTTACTATTTATAACACATTGCTTAACAAAAATTTTTCCAGTAAAACCAATTTGGAAGAGAATTTTTTAATAAAAAGTATTTTTGTATTTTATTAAAAAACTTGACAATAAACTTGAATATTTTAAATTTGTTTTTCAATACGTAAAAAATGTTTTAATCATCGAATTGCGAATAGTTTTTTTTTTTATAAATAGTTTTTTATGAATAGTTGAACGNCTAAAGAAAAAATTGCACTGTTTTCCGATGAAAAAATATTTGTTAATTATCATGTTATACGTAATAAAAAAAAAAAAGTTTGAAAGTAGCGCAGTCTCATTTATTCGTGTTAACCAAACAAAACGTACCACAACAAAAAGAAAAAAAAATTTCCTCGACCCCTGATCAATATTTCAGCTCCAGTCGCTGCCGGAGGCTAATTTAACCAATTCCGCGAGTAAAATTATAAATTTTCGCTCACACACCCGGTCGGAAAATCGAACTCCCCGCAAAACCCTGTTTGCACAGGTGCAAGCGCTTAAATTACCGAAGGCCGCCCCCCACGTATGTACGCGTATACAAAATCCACCCTCTTTTCCGCGTACTAATGAGCGCGCAAACCGGTCCCTCTTAGTTTTTACTTTGATTTTCGCTCGTAATTACCGGGTTTTTAAATTTTTCAAGCTCAGGAAAAAAAAAGAGGCACGCAGACGTCAACAACTCACAGAAGGTAGGGAGGATACTTTGAAAATGCAACTCTCGCGGACTTTCCTAATTGTAAACACACCCACGTACGAGCACACATCAGCATTTTTAGTGGGAAAAAAAAAAAAAAGAGCTCGTAGCAGTGTGCAGTCGCGAGAAACTCGGGAGAAAAGTGCATTAAAGCGCCCGGGTCGCTCTTTGATTCTGTAATCCCATTATCATTCTTCTATTCATAGTCGAGGCGAATATACATGTATATAAATGCGCGTTTGGCGAGTCTTCATTTCTCATTTGCATCTTTCGCGACTGACTGAATTATTGAATATAAGAGGAGGAGGAGGAGTAGTCGTGAGGTATCGATCGTAATTTATATGCCTCGGCGTCGCTTTCACGCGCAACCGAGTGAACTCGCGTTTCGCACATACTCGCACGTCACAAGTACGCCCGCCCGCGCGTCTTTCATATTTTTTATTTTCTGCTCTTAAAGGAAACCTTCTTTTCCTCTTCGTCTTTCTTGTTTATGAAAAAAAAAAAAAAAAAAAAAAAAAAAAGAGGAGGGAGGTAAAGTTCTCAGTTTACAAGTAGTTTGACTCTAAACTTGGATACGAGCGTTGTTGTGATAAAGATTTTTTTTTTCTCTCTCTGTCGCTAATAGTGCTCAACGAGCTTTTTTTTTCTTAAATGTTAGTGCATCATGTAAAAATTGTATAGAAAAATATTTCACCTTCTCAACTAATAAATAATAGAGATTAATATTTATAAATAATAGTGGTTATTTTTCGTGTCATGAAATACTTTATTAATACCAGAAATTACTTCTCGATGATCATGTTGTGAGATATCATTAAACTATAGAATATTATATTGTGTAACATAAAATAATGTATGATTCTTCGGAATCAGTTTTATCCACTTAATCGAAAAGTGTAATATTTTCTCTATTTTATCTAATGTGGTACTTGTGATTTTAAAATACTGATTTTTTGCTACTCTAAATTTAATGGGTTTTCCGGGACAAGTTAACGTCAAATATTGTTGAAAGAGCTTTTCGTTCTGACTTTACAAAATTTCATCACTTCAATGATAATTTCCTCTCACAATCTTCAGGTCGAAGTGATGGTTTTTAAAAGTTTTTCCTGGTCAACGCTTTATCGGGCTCTTGTTCATCACTTTACCTTTATATGTATGGTAACTTAACTATTAAAATAAAATAAAAAAAAAAAAAAAAAATGTACAACCCCTTTTTATAAAAGTGAATGTAAAAAGTAAAAAGGAAAAACAATTTTTTTTCTGCCTCTGTAAAGCTTTTCATTGCAAAAAAAAAACGTCTATTGCGCTGGGCTTGTTGTGAGAAATAGTAAAGGTTCTACAACGAGGGAAAGTAAGGCAAACAACGAAACTGGCTTATAAGTCGTTTGGAAGAAACAATAGGAATGAAAAAAAGGCCTGCTGGCATATCTGTGGTGGTGGTTTGTACGATTGGTTGGTTATTGGGATTTTTTTCGAGAATACAGCGACGTAAAGAATCTATGCATGCGTGGCACGAGAAAAAGGTAGATTTTAGGTCACTCTCTACATGCGCTTATTCGTTGGTCTTTTCTCTCTCCCTATTCCACCTGCC